CACAAAATAAAATTGTCTGTCATCGATGGTAGATCCATCTGGATGTGACCTTAATTAGAGTTCCCTTATAAAACGAGGATGGGGTTAGACTCAAGGAGTTGACACAATTAAGAGTTGCCCTCGAAGGTAAAGCTAATTAAGAGTTATTGCAGGTAGAAAGAAACGAGTTTTGAAAGGAGAATTTGTGCTTACTAATAAAATTCATATGCTTTTGTTCTGTTCCTCTTAGTTGTCTCTTTATTTTTTCTTTTTTACTATGACAATTGCATTACCATTATTGGATTGCTAAATTACTTTAAGTGGATCTCCTGTAGGTATTGAGATGTTTGAATTTGGTGTTTATAATGCCTTATTGTTAATAGATTTGAATTTAGTTAGTCATATTATATAAATAAATATTTGTAACATTTTTTATTAATTTATTTTTATATAATTATATTTATAAATTATATATCAATTAAATATTACAAAATTTAATGTATTTATTAATTAGTCTTTAATTTTATATTATTAATTAGTTTATGATAGAATTTTTTTTAACTGATAATCTATTATAAAATAGATGGGCGTTTCATTTCATTGTATTTAAATTCTAATAGTTTATACACTGTTGAATAAAATGTAAGGGGATTAAACTCTAAATTGGTTTGGTCAACTACCCTAAATCCCCGTAATCAAAACAGAATAACTTAAAGATAATCATAAAAAGAACAAAACAAAGCAAGAGAAGTCAGTAATTAATACTGAAGCCTCTCTCTCTATATATATATATAGTCGCTAATGCTGAAACTGGAAATGAAATTGTGCTTCCATTTTCTCATCTATGACTCCAGGTGCTCCCAAGAAAGGTAGCCTAAGGTATTCGCCCAAAGATATGGGCTCTGAAATGAAGAGAACATTGGTCTTCCCTGCTGGAACAGCACTAGAGACATCAGATGTGGGCAACAAACAATTGGCCAGAAGAGCAATATTCCCTGTGGAAGTGTAGTAATCTTCCCAATAATGATGAGATGGTGGAGTGCAGTTTACGGCCTCAAGGTCAATTTCAAATAGATCCTCTTCCTCTTCCATTCCTAAATCATTGGAAACTTCTCTATACTCTTCTAAACCTTTAACTGAAGAACTCATGGCTTAATTTGTTTTGTGGTATATTATCATCATCAAAGGGAGCAATGTAATATATATAGTGGCAATTTGGATGTTCAGGTGGATGGTGGCAAGTAGAACGCTCCCCAACAAATCTGCGAAGAGTGATTATATTAAGGATGTTGTTAACCAATGTCTTAAAATGTTAGTTAAAGATTTATTAAATAATTCTTTAATAAAATTTATGCTGACATAAATTCAAAAATATTTTCTAATGAATTTTTATCTTTAATTTTATAATTAGTGCTTTTTAAATACTAGTGATTAATATTTGTATTATATTGATATGTTTTCGGAGCAGCAACTCCTCATAGGCTGCTCCACCATAATTCAACGCTCGTGCCGCTGACATATGCCCGTTTTTGTCTCAAATGTGAAATCAAAGTGAGTATTTGATTCACTTTCACCAAAATCATAACATGGAGTCAAACTTAGAGCTATCTACCCAACAGAAATAGAAAAATGTTGCCATCATCTTGGATAGAAAATAAGTAATAATAGTAAGAGTTGCCACCTTTCTTTCACAAAACGTACCAAAGTGAAAGATTATAAGGTTAAAGAACAAGAAAAAAAAAAAAGATATTTTGCATTTGGCAGCAACAACAACCAACAAACATGTGAACCAACACTCCTTTATGCTTGCCATAGCCTGAAATGAATTCGTAAATGGGGCTGTGGTTTGAAGAGTGAGAATTCCATAAAAGCTTAATCAAACCACGTGGAAGGAAGGTTAAAGAACACTCAAATTCGTATCGGTTTATAAAATATCTAATATTTTATTTTTTATATTATTAATTATTTATGATACACTACTATCAATATCAAATAATATTTTATTAATGCTAACCATATATTTCTTAAAAGTCATTATAATTTGCTTGATATGAATTTAATTATTAAAAATACATAATATCACATAAGAGTCTCAAATGACATGAGATATTCATTTTATTAAGTTATAGATCGAAATAAAAATTATATCTTTTAATATTAGAAGAACTTAATAATATAAATATTAAAAATATTGAATTAATATTCAATAAATCTATAAAAGGACTAAAAATATTAAAATTTAAACTTATTTAATTAAGTCGGCATAAAAAATAACTCTTGTAGATGGGTCTGTAAGCCTATTACCTAATAATAACAACAGTACATAATAATAGGCTTATGCAGACTGTTCTATGTTTATTATTTTGATTTGCATAAATATGCTATTTGGAGTAAAAAAAATTCTCTTTGAATGCTCATCTTGACATAATTTTTTTAAAAATAATTTAAAATAAATTTTTATAAATTAAAATTAACTTTTTTTTAAAACTATTACCAAAAGATAAGTTATTTATAACTCATAAGAAAAATTTTATTTATTTTTTATTATATTTTTTTCATTTATAAGTTTTTATTTATAAGTTTACCTTAATAGGATCTAAAGTTTGTTTGAATAAACTTGTGAATAAGTTCTTATAATTTATAAGAAAGGAAAAATAATTTTAAAAATAAATAATTTTTTTCATGAATTAAAATAATTTATTTTTTAAAATTTTAAAAAATTTAAATTATTATAATTTTTTAAAAATAATGAAATAAGTATGAGTTAATTTAAACTTATGTGAGAATTTTATTCATTTTTTATATTATTTTTCTTCTCTTATTTATTTATGCACAAGTTGATCCAAACTAGGCCTAAATTTTACTGAATTAAGTAATATGAATTTACAATTTAACGTTTAATATTATCAATATATTGAATTATGTGACTTTAACTATATATAATTTTTTTTTATTTTGTGTTATTAAATATACATTAAATATTAATCAAGTTTTAATTAAATTAAATTGAGCAATATTTTATGAAAATAATATATGATTAATTATTTATTTTAATAAAAATTTAAATCTCCTTTAAAAAAACTGATTATGTTATTTGGTACAAGCAATGAAATGTATAATTTTTTTAAGAAGTAATCAAGACGCGTGTTTTTAAACACCATTCACTCAATTATTAATTAAATTTAATTGAGAAATATAAAATTGTAAATAAAATTAATTAAATGAAAAATTAGTCTCATATAATTTTAATTGATATAATTTAATTTAAGTAGTACTTATTTAATTATATTTTAGATTTATAATAAAAAATAATTTGACCAAAAATGAATTTTTAGTTTGCTTAAAATTGATATTTATAAATAATATTTATAGTTTAAAACACTCATATAATTTTATAAATTTTAATTAGTTTTTAATTTATAATAAAAATGTGCCATTAAGATATTCTTAATTTTTTGCAAACGTGTTTTTTAAAAAAATTTGACCAATTTTTTTGGTTGATATATCTAAAAAAAAAATTATTTTCTTGATATATTCTTAAAATATGTATAAAAATAAATAAAAAAGTAATCAACATCTACAGAATAAATGTGAATATATTATTTGAAAAGTAAAATATCAAATAACGCTACTTTATTTTATAATTAGTTGCATGTTCTTTTTAGATTTAAAATTAATTAATAATTATGTATGAGATATTTATTTTGATGTAATAATTTGATTCTTACTCACTAATCACCACTCTGATTCCTAATATTTGTTAAAACTGAAATGATATTTATTTGGGTTCTATCTGTTTCTTGATATCATGCGAGTTTGATCTATCAATATGATGAAGTTGCACTGCTCCATTACAGTGAAATAGAGCCTTTAGCTGGTGATGTTGTTCATGAATAAAGGTCTTTCTTTTCACTTTATGAAGATTGCTTACATCGATACACTGAAAAGGACATAATTAGATATATCTTCTAGGAAACTCTTCAGAAATTGGACTACCTCCATTAATTTATAATTTGACAAAGTTAGTCTAAAGATAAATTAATTAAATATATAGCTAAATAAATATTTTTTATTTTGAGTTTGAAATTTATATGAAAGATTTTTTTTTTTAATAAGAAAAGCTTAAAAGTCTAAAACAGAACACAATTTAGATACGAGACCTAGAACAATCCTGAGAAAATTTAGACCTAATTTAGCTTAAGTGTTTCATACAGATTTACTTTAATACATATAATATATCTTAATTTTATATTATCTTTTAATTTTATGAAATTTTAATAATCGTACCTTTTATATTTATTGTTATTTAATATAATGCAATGTATTATAATTTTTCGGACTTGCAATTTTACAAAGGCTTTTTTTCTTCACTAAATCCATCGGTATTGATATTTTTCATACAATGTTATATCAAAGATAGGTATACATTAACTTTCCCTTATTATTGTATTTTGCTACAGTATTTTAAATACATTATTTTTTTATCATATAAAAAAGTTCTGTTCTATTTTTATTAGCATAAGTTTCAAAATAAAATATGTGCTACCGTACGAATAAAATATGTTTTTATTTTAGAATTATTCATTTTCATATGAACGTTACTTTGTTAAAAAGAGTTTGTAAACAAGATCTTTATAATATAAATATAGTTTATAATTTTTTAATATAAATATTTACTGCAAAATTTAAATATAATGTTAAATTTCAATTAATGTAATACATGAGTATCATCTTAATCTATTAAAAAAATATAGTTACTGTTATTAAAAAAATACACTTTTTATTTTATTAACACATAAATGCTTATATTGTATTTTTATATGATTTAATTTTTATTCAATTATTAAATTGTATACATGTTATGAAAATAAAATAAATGTGCATGGGCATTAACTAGTTAAATATAATATGTGAGAATTTGAATTTTTGAAATAAAGAAACTGAAAATTAAACCCTTTAAGAGCTTTAAGCTCCATCCATGACATCTCCTTCAGGGGAGGAAGATACTAACCGTTCTCAACTCAACTCAACCAATGTCCTAAAGAAATTGAATTAGAATTGAGATTCCATTTTGCATACACCCCTTATCGCTATTCCTTCTTTCTTAGAGACACTCCACTATGCTTTCTAGGGTTACTGCAACTGCAACACCAATGGAGCAAGACGGTGTCGTTTCGAAGCCTGTGGCGGTGATTGCGTGCATAGCAATGGCCTTGCTCTACGTCGCCATCCTCTACACTCCCACACTGCTCCTTCGTCTCCCACCTCCTTCTTCTTTCAATACCTTCATGATTCGACGCTTCCTATGCGCCCTCCTTTCCTCCACTCTCTCCCTCTTCCTCACTATTCTCATTCTCCCCGTGAGCACTCTCCCTCTCCCTTCATTTATTAGTTTTAAGGTCTTATTATTATACAATTATAAAGTTTTTATTGAAAATTATAACAATACTTTTAATATATATTTTTTTTGTTAGATGTTATTATAATATTTTTTATTAGTTTATAAGATATTAGTTAATATTTGCCTTCTGATTATTTTTGTTATTATTATTAAATTGGTGAGGCATTTGTAGTCATTTTTGTAAAATTAGCTTAAATAATCATAATTTCTGAATTTACTCTTCTGATCGTTCGTATTGTTATTTTAATGTGTGGGCAGGTGCATAATAAGGAACTGCGCCACATTTTTGGTGTTTTTGGCATTAGAAGTGACCATATTGTGAGTAATGGATATCAAATGCACAGGTTCAATCGATGGATGGAAGTGCATTTTTGTGTTGTGTGGTGATGCCAAGTTAAATTTCTTATTATGATATGCAGATTGGGAAACATGGTCACTCATTCGTTCCTGATTTTCTTGCTGAAATACGGTTTTCTGTATGAAACAGTGGCAAGCTGTGGTCCTTCCTCTTTGCTTGACCTCTTTGATGTATGCTGGGTCTTTGTTCCTCAAGTGTCTCTTGTTGCTGGCTTCTTTGAGGCAGTACACAAGTTCTGGAGGTGCCCTTTCCTTTGATTACTGCAAATGTGCCTTGCAGAGGTTTATTGACTGGTTATCTGTGATTTCATCAAATGTTTTGGTGTGGCGAAACTATGTTGTGGTTAGTACCATTATCTTCATTGTGTGTGTCGAACCTTTTGCCATTGGCAAGCCATTGCACTTGTAGGTTAATTTTCTCTTGTGCTTATATTGAGAATTGGAATCACAGAAGTAAATAGTTTTGTTTACTGACTTGTGAATATGGCTTAGCTGATGTGTGTTTTAGGGGTTCATCATCACATATCTTGTGCATTATGGGAATGTTTTATTATGATGTACTGAACAGGCACCCTTTACTGAGGAGTTGGTGTTTAGGGCGTGCATGATACCTTTGCTTCTCTGTGGAGGATTTAAAACATACAGTATTATTCTTCTCTGCCCTATTTTCTTCAGCTTGGGTAAGTTCTCAGATGTCAATTCCAGAAGATGTATGTGGTTTCTAAGGTTATGTAGTAGAATTTTTTCTTCACTATATATAAATGAAAATCTTTTGGCATTTAATATTAAAAATGTTCAAGAGAAGTCATAAAACATTCATTGTGTACTGTTGAGGATTTGAACAATGGCATTATACTGAGTTTTATTTGAGCTCAAGTTCATCATGCTCTCTGAAGTGCTAATTTTAGTTATAAATTTTGAATGAACTAGTGGAAGATTTTTGAAGGGAACACAATAAATTCATTTCATGGAAAATAAAATCCCTTGCAATATTCGTTAAACTTCATTTGGCTGTAGATTGAAGAGAATAATGAGCAGAAATAATTGTCCTTTTCAAATGCAAGGCTTAATGACTAATGAGAAGTTTTATTGCCTGATTGATTTACACTATGCAGCACATTTAAATCATTTCATGGAGATTTACACCAAGCAAAACTACAGAATAATGAAGGCTGTTATGGCCATAGGTATGGTCAATGTTTATGTTATTTATCAAGTGCCTGGTTTTGCTTTATCAAAGTCACACTGGCAAAGTTTCTGTATCTTTCACTGAGAATTTGAGATTTTGGAACATTATAACAATCTCAACTTATTGTTGGATAATAATCTCACACTGCAAAATGAGTTGTCTACAGGTCTCCAGCTTGGCTACACTGTTATCTTTGGATCATATGCATCTTTTCTTTTCCTTCGAACGGGTGTGTGATGTCTTAGTGCTTGACCCATGTTTATGTTTTAGTTTATGGCTCTGTTTTATCTGCTCTGATCTTTATTTAATGATGATCATTTGAGCTGCTGAAACACACAAATTTAGATACATAAATACAGTATTGCATAAAAAGAATGAATGGATAATGATGTCACATGCGACTGAATGACATAATAACAGTTGAGAGTTAAAATGACCCTGCATTTTTCCCTTTAGACAGGAAAGTGATGTTTAAAATACGATTAATTTTTTCTACAAGGTTCAGAATTCAGATTCAGTCTTGGTCCATATAGTTTATCTTGATTTTGGTTCTTGTTCCGATATTTTGAAAGTTTGATTTTTAGTCCCTTTAGTTTTATTATTATTGGTTTTGGTCCCTGCCACCATTCATATTCTTATAGAGACAATCAGAAATATTGTAGAGAGCAAAACCTAATTACATGTTGAAATGATAGGAAAGAGAAATAAGTATGTTATTATGATTTATGACTTGATATCATTCTCTTCACTGCACATTTAAACTTATTTTTCTGTGAGCTATATGGCTGTAGCTAGCAGTTGGATTGGCCCAGTTCTAATTTCAAGTCAAATTATAGTCTCTTGTTTTTGGCTGGCCTGTTCTTTTTCTGTCTCTTATACTTGTTTTTGGTTTATGCTTTGCAGGAAATCTTATAGCTCCACTAGTTGCACACATATATTGTAATTTTATGGGACTACCTGTATTGTATTCGCAGAGAAGTGGTATGTATATTATGTTGCTTATGAAGTAAATTGCAAATGTGAAAAATACTTGCTATTATCTAGAGCTCAAAAATATACTGCCATCTGTTATAATAGATTTGCAAGTATAGTTTCAGTTGGACTTTTGACCGTAGGCCTGAGTTATGAATTTTTAAAGTCTTAATAATGGCCCAAGTTGTACTATTAATAAATATTTCTCCTCACAACTCTTTTCATTATGTAATATTTACTGAAAATATGAAGGAAAAATGGAGAAACTATGACCTAGTGATTTTTTCCCTGTTAATGAATAGTTTTTACTTACAATTTTAGCCTTTTGAAATTGCTGTTACTTGTTGGTACTGAATTTTATGAGAGATCGATGTAAAACTCTAAAGAGTTTGAATGACATTTTACTTGCGTAAACAAAATTTTCAGTTTGGTACACGTGACATTACATGGTTCTCTGAAATTTTACACTACCAGTGAATCAAGCTTAAATCATCACTTGTAATGTTTGTTGTTGTGAGTGGAAGCATGCTTATTTTTATTTTAACTATGGATTCTCAAGCACGAAGGTTGAAATATAGTGGTGATGCTTGCGTGGCCATTGTTGCCTACCCGTAGAGGCAAGAACTCTAGCTCATTTGGTCGGGTACCTGTTTTTTCGTAGAGCTATCTGAGGTCTCTAGAGCGTTTAATTCTTGTGATCCCCCACTCTTGATAAGACCTACATTGTGCAGGAATTGGAAGAAAGAAGAAAAGAGGGGGCCGGGGGGTAAAAACAGTGCTAGTTAGTACCATTAGCTGTACTCATGATCTGCTCATTTTTTGTCATGGAACTATGAATATGTGATTTATGGCTTTACCATTCATTTCCATATAAATGTGATTTTGGACTTATCCATTTGTTTCTGTTTCTGTTGCAGGGATTGTAAGTATTGCATTCATAATGGGATTCCTGGGCTTCTTGTGGATTCTTTTTCCATTGACGGGCCCAGAATTGTATAATGATAGAATAGAAAATTGCAGTTGTTGGCATGGGTGCTGCACATGGAGAGAAAAAATAAGAATGTCACAGATGTAAATGCTAGTTTGTTTTTTGGTTTGCAAAGAATGAATTCTATAAGAAAAATGTTTTACTTTTTAATTCATTTTTTTCTTCTTATTCAAGCTATATTCGTATTGTCAAATTTTAAGTAGGAAGTCTCGACATTGTACTGAAAGTAAAGAGTAATAGCCATAATTGAGAAGTCAGCTGTTATAATTTAATCGGAATTCGGAATATATCGACAGTTTTATATAATTAAAAATTATTAATTTTATGATAATTATTTTAAAAGTAATCGTTAGAATAGTTTTTACTTGGCTGGCAGTGTAAAGATATTTACACCGATATATCAAAATCAAATTTTATATATTAAATGTTTATTTGATTAGAACTGATTGAATTTGTTTGAAAAAATCTATCAATATCATTTTTTCTTTTCTTTGAATTAAGACTTTGAGTTAAATTTAGAAGAGAAAGGAGAAAATTTATTTAAAGGTATTTTTCTAAATTATTTTTTTTTCTCTCCCCCTTTCTTTCATCTTCAAAACTTTTAAATAAACCCTAAAAGTACTCTTTAATTGGTAGTGGATTATTTTTATTTATTTTTACATAAATTATCAAAATAAGATTTACTTTTATACAATGAGTTAATAGTTAGAAAGGATCCCATGTCATTAACTAGAAAATTAATAGCAACATACTTTCTAACACATTTTTTATTATTGACTAAAATTTATTAAAAATAAAAAATTATATAAAACTCACTTTTTTTCTTAAAATAATATTTTTTTATCTTATTTTTATAATTTTTAATAAATTTTAATTAATAATAAAAAATGTTGCTAACATTTCTCTATTAAATATATAAGATAATTAAGGCTATTAAATTTGAGAATACCTTTGACCAATGCCTCCATAGCATGGTAAAAGCATAGAGCCAAAATCCATTCAATTCATTTACGCTTAAAATGGTGGAGTTTCATTCGCTTATTCGTTCATCAATTGATCATCCACTGTGCTAATCCTTTCTGAAAGGGGTATTTTTATACTTTATTACATGGGTTTTCAAAATTGAATTGCTTTTTTTTTTTTTAAACTATGCAATCGATTAAAAAAATTTAAAATCTAAAAAATAGCCTTTTATTGAAATTCAGTTCAATTTTTAGTTTCTAATGTTACAATCAAACTAAATCGGATCATATGTATAATGTATTATACTTATATCACTCTCCTTGTTATATTTTCGTATAAACAATTATCTGTATTTTTCTTAATCTTATCGTAACCTTACTTAAATATACGGTGGGGCACTCATATCTAATTTGTACTTTTAACTCCTCGTATGAGTCCTTTTTTCTTTTTTCCTACCAACAAATTTACTATTTTGTAGTTTTATCATTCTGATTAACGTCTCTCTCTCTCTCTCTCGTTCTTTCAACAAGTTCACTTTGATTTTTGGCTATATTAATTCATCCCCTTTAACCTAAATTAAAATTCATATAAAAATAAAGATTAATATAAACTAAAGTAAAAATATTAATTCTAATATTACATTTAAATCAAACCAAATCACATATTATTTTTATTTTCAAATTAAAAATATTTTTTATAAAAAATATACCAAACCAAATTGCAAATATCCATACTTTATTAGCCTTAGAGACTATTCTTGCCTTATCCTAAGGTTCGGAATGTGATAAGTTTCTTCATGTATGTGAAGGAAATATTGTTGTCTTAAACTTTTTCACTCTAAAAATGAGTTTCTTTATATTTTTTTAAAAATAAGCACTTAAAAAAACTTCATGATCACTAACTCCACACCCTTTTCTATGGAGTAATGATAGTTTTACTGTATCTTTTTACTACAAAAATGACAGACATAAAGAGGAGTGGTTGAAAAATTTAATCCAAAAGTTATCACCCATTTTCTTTTTGGTACAGAAATTTTCACCCGTTTATTCACATCTTGTGAAGGTTCTATATTTGTTATTTTGGTCAAAGTATGCATTTTTTTTTTCTTGGTTTGATTGAGGGTGCTCAGCTCTTAAGTGGGCTCCACTGTTTTCAGAATTATCCTAACTCTATTCAGCAACATATATTTTTAGCTAATTTACTAGAATTCGTCACTAGCTTTTGTATGAATAAAGTTACTCACAAACTTCTCTACACTATTTTTAAAAGCATTAAGTATTAGGAAAAATGACCTTTCTGTGCAACACTTATCGCGACCGTGTAGTATAAAAATGGTAGAAAAAAAAGCTACTTCCTATATTATCAAAGGGGGTATTGCTGGTATTTGAGGAGATTAGCAAAGACTTAAGGTTTTTTTTTTCCTAAAGAGAGATGCCCATTAATTTTAAATGATTTCAAGAAAATTTGAATTTGTATCCATGAAAAGCAAAAACTTTTCTCTGAATCTTTAACTATTTATGCCAAAATGCCTTTAGCACATAATTAATCACAATTGGGCTCGGGAAGAATCAGAGTTTGAAACTCCAAGATCATACCCCAAATTCAACATTCAATGTTTTGGAAATTCCTTTTAATATTTAGATAGAAGAAGAAAATATAATTTCCTGTGTTATGATTGATATTCTGATTTGTTTTTCATTTTCTCTTATGAAATGCGTCCTAACTCCATAATATAGTCTTGGATATGGTTATGATGGCCGAATCTGCAGGCTGCAGATACTCTGTAACAAAGAGAATATAATTTGAAGAAACATTTAATACAAGTAAGTTAAATCCGATAGGAGCAGTGGTAAATGTAGAAATGTTGGTCCTGCTCTGAGGCACCTCATGGTTTAGCCATATGGTTCTGTTATACTTGAACTTCACATTACAATATGTTAATTTATATATTGTTTTGATGATATATATATATATATATATATATATATATATATATATATATATAATTTTTCAGTATCTTCCATCATATTTTTGTCCCATTTATTAAATCTATAGATTTTTTGAGAGAGTTGTGGTGTGGGTCTTGAAAGGGAATCTCAGTCATCATGTTCTGCTCCTTAATTCTATATCAATATTCACATTCTGAGCTCGTCACCTTAAGAGGACAGTTTCAGTTAGATGCAGCGTTACAGCAACATTTTTTTTTAATATCCCTTCAATTCTGATTAGACATTCTTTTCTTTGTTGTATTTGAAGCAGTGTAGTTTTTTATTTTTTTATTTTAATAAAATATGATTTTAGATTATTTCTCTCTTTTTTTAGTTTTAGGATAGATCGTTGATATAAATTATATTTGCTTGTGTTATTTAATATTTTTTAGTTTTTAGTTAAATTTAACTTTTTATTGTAAATAATTTAAATTAATTTAAAAGTATTTGATGTTTTATCTATGTATATAAAAATAAAAATAGTTAATTATCTTTTTATTCTTGATTCTTGTTAATTTTTATAAGACTTGATATAAATAATTTAGATACTATACACTTATAGTTTAATGGTTTGACTAATAAAAATTATATTTTATTTAAAATTATTATGATAAAAGAGTGTTGTAACTCACTCAAAGCTACGTTATTATAACTTAGTTTCTTCTTTTAAGTTTATGTAAATATGATTAAATTTAATTTTGTCTTAAAAACTTATTAATTTTAATTTGTATAAATTTTAAACTTTAAAAAAATAAATAATCATCAATATCTATTGATAATAATGGTACATTTAAATTTATCAAGTCACATATCACCTTAGAATGGTTATTAACATGGTATCACTAGGTGCATATTATATCATCATTAGATAGGGATAGAAATTAATTTTAAATATTTAAAATCTATTAAATTTAAAACTCACGAAATAATTTTTGGAAAACTATAACCAAATTTAACTATATTTGTAAAGACTTAAAACTAATTTTTTTTAAGTTTGAAATCTAACTTATATTTTTTTATAATAAAAGGGGCGAATTGTTCTTTAAAATTTTAAAGTCAAAGGTATTTTTTTATTCTTTACTTAGATTATGAGAAATAGTGGTCTTTTATTTTTATTGTTTTAGAAGTCCTATGTATTTAAAATTTAGCAATTTTGATCTGACATTAATCTTTTTATGTAAAATTGTTAAAAAAAATTTCACTAAATTTTTTTACAAATTAAACCAATTATTGTATACTTAAAATTCGTAAACTATAATATCAAAATTTTCCTAAAATAAAATAAAAAATCATCTTCAAATCCTAGTCTCACATGTTATAAATCATTCAAAATTTTACTAAATTTTCACTAAATTTATTAATTTTGAATTTTTTATAATTATTTAATGTTCTAATTCTATTATTATAAAGCTCTAAAAAATTAGATAAAAAATATAATATTAAGTTTTAGGTAGAAAAAAATCAACAAAATACCAAATTTATAAAAATAGAAAAATTAATTATCTCTAAAAACATAAAATTATACATATTCTAAAATAAAAAATATTTATTATTTTTAAAACATAAAATTATAATAAATATTTATGCGTAAATTTAAACTAATTTTATATTTATATACCTTAATATACACAGACTGCGTGCTATTAATTTAATGGCTCTTATATATTTATAGTTTTGTAATCATAAATTTATTTATCTGTTTATAATAATATGGCATTGACATTTCAGTTATTTAATTAGCTTAAACTGTGCTTGTCAACTTACCTTTTCGCATTAATAGAATAATACTTTTTTTTTTCTTTCATTATTTTAGTTTTTAGTTTACATCTTTTGAGTGATTTATACAAATTAGTACCGAATTTTACCAACTTTATCGTAAATTTATTTATTTATCACATTATGCTAGATGAGTAATATGTATCCCTTTGTATCTTTTTCATTTATCTAACATTTTAAATATAAATATATTTAAATTTTCGTACAATATTTTAAATTGTCAAACATTCGAGTAAAACTTAATTAAGCACTTAAAGAGCATCTAAAAGAATTCAATTTTATGTCAACTGTTTATAACCTTTTTTATAAACTTTTTTTTGTTTATTTTTTAAAAATTATAGTTAAATATATGAATAAACTCTCAATCAGTAAAAAATTATTAAATAAATATTTAATTAAAATATATTTCAAACACATTATTCTTTAAAAATTCTTATTTAATAAAACTTATTTATAAGTCTAATTACGCAACTTATTAAAATAAGATAAAAAATTATACTTCATTGAATACATAAAATTTAAAATATAATTTAAATTTGTAATTCCAGTTATGGTTCAACAATTATGAATTATATCTAATTATAATTATAATTTCATTTGATATATCTAATTACATGCATTAGTTTGAAGATTATAAAAACGATGGTAACTATAGAGAAAAAAAAACAACAATAAAAATAAATTTATTATTGAAGAGTTGTAAAAACGAAAAAAAATAATTACAGTTATGAAAGTGAGAATGAAAGTTATAAATTAAAAAATGTCAATCTTAATTATATCATGATTTTATGAAATTAACTAAAATTATTATATTACTAATTTTAAAAAGATTTTTTAAACAATGTAATTATTATTTTTAGGTTAAATTTCAAATCAAAAACCAATTTCATACTCAATTCTACATGGTGAACAGACGTTAATAACAAAGTATTAAAAATATTTTTATGAAAAATTTGGAAGATTATGCAAGAAGACATGATGTTACTCATGAAAATTTAGAAGTTGTCTAAATATAGCTTTAAATAATTCTTAAGAGTTAATTTTATAACACGTTTTGCATCATTATTTATGAACATAGACGTCAACCAGACTCGTATGGTGGAGGCATTGACTATGTCATGTCCTGTTTGTTTCTTCTGAAGTCTTCATTCTTCAGTCTTCACCCACTCATTCACTTTCATTCAACATTCTTTTCTTCTCATTACATCTCTTCAAAACTCAATCTGAACCACATGCCATCTCCGTCATCCTTCCTATTCAATTTTTACTTTTACTTCTTTTAATAATTATTCTTTTATTTTATTAAATATTTATTAATTTTTCAGAACATCATTTAAGTTGTCTCTTTATTTTAAGTCTGTAGTTTTCAAATATATGAATATAAAATTTAGTTATATATAATATTAAGTTTAATATTATATTTTAATTCATTAGTTATTAAAATAATGCAACCGTTGTTTTTTATATTTTTTTTTCTCTTTTTAGCCATTGGTTGGTTGTATAGAAATTAAGACAGAGTTTGGAGATAAATAGACAGACAGAGAGAGAATAACACATACGCTAGCAACGGTTTTTAGTTTGTCAGGCCAACTGAAAAGAATTAAATAAATAATGTATTATGAAATTATGGAACTTATAAGAAATCCACTGACCCTTTTCTTATATAAGCTGATATATTTAAATTTGGACTAGAATTTATGTTGATTATATTAGTGTAAAACTTTTTCATGATCACACACACACACACACAAAGAGGTGGCAATGAGAGCTAAACATATAATAACTTTATATTCCTTTCTAACAGATAGGCCTGATACATCATACAACCTTGTAGTTCAGAAATTCATATCTAAACCCCCCAAAAAAAGAAAGATATGATTAAACATAGAAATGGAAGTAATAGTGCCCTGGTAGATGATTGCTAGTATTGTCCTATGGAACAGAAACTACAACTACTACTGCTCACATTGATTTTACACAAAAAGTAAATTAAAAAAATAATAATAAAAATACAGTCTCTAGTGGGGTCAAGATGCTTCTTAATCTTATCACTAGGCACATTAATTAATTGCTGGAACTAGAAGGATCTTGAGTGGCACTTGAGCTCAGGCTCAAATCAAGAATGGTATTTGGAGCATTGCCTTTCTGATTACCCTTTGAAAGCTTCTGTTTCAGCTCAGACAATAAAGCTTGATTCTCTTGATTAAGAAGTTGAGCCTTCTTCCTTAATCTCTCATTCTCTTTCATTATGTAACAGTTCTGCAGGTACAACTTTGAGTTCAATCTTTCCATCACTACACCAAAACTCACTAACTATTAACAATGACCCTGAAATCAGAAAAGAATTTTAGTATCAATACAAGTAAAATCTTTAGATAAATTTTATATTATCTTTAGATAATACACCACTAGTGAATCCAAAGACTTATAACATATGACTGAATATGATTGATAAGGAGAGGGAGAAAGAAATAGAATGATAAAGTGAGAAAACAAGGAAACACAATCACCTTAATATAACTGAATGAAAACCAAAAGGGAAAAGGAGAAAAAAAAAATAATGTACAAGCTTCCAAGCGAATGTGTTGCTTTATGAAATGCTTTGGAAGATATAATTATTACACATAAACTAAGAAGGCAATGTCAACAGGGAAAAGCATAGGAGGTGGAGGCCAGAACAATTGAGTCCTTTGGACCACCTTGTCAAATAAATGGAGCATATGGGGTTGTCTGAAAAACTAAAGAAGATGATGCAGGGAGGAATAACAGTTGTCCAAACCCGCACTCACTTGAAAGCAGAACAAAAAACAAAAACTTGGGTTCTTTCGGCTATCCCAAGAGGGAAGAAAAGGATAAAGGTCCTACGTAAAAGAGACAAGCTTCGTACCAAGATCTTCTGTGTGTTTGTATGTCCATGTAAAAACACAGTTTTATTGATGTTTGAAGCATATAAAGAGACATTCATAATTTTTTTTAATGTCTTAGTAGAGCCAAAAATTGCCAAAAGTAAAATGGAAAAAAATAAATATATAACCAAAAATCCCTGTATAATAATAAAGAATGAATATGGATATATAGCTAGAGAAAGACAAAGAAACCATTGAGGGCATTTTTTAAAATATATAAATGGATAAATAAATGAAACAGAATCTACAGAGAAAAAGGTTTGATAGGCAAACATTCCTCCCACAAAACAAGGTGGAGTGAAACTAAGATACCTAAAACTATGTGAAAGCCTTGAGTAAGTTAGAAGAAGCAAACAAGAGACAGAGTACAGGTGATTGGGACTCAGATATCTAAACCAAATACCACTTTGCAAAAGCCTGAAATGGGTCTTAATTTGCAATACCATGTTTATATTTCTTTGTGAAAGTAAGGAGGCATCCAAAAAAAAAATAAAGAAAAGAGTGAGAGAGAGAGAGAGAGAGAGGTGGGGCCCCCATGTCTTTCTCTCTTGAACTTTTCGAAAAAGATCACCTTTTCAAGGAGGGTTGGCTTAGGAGACTTTGGGGGAGGAAGCAAAATCTGGATTGTGGAAGGAGTAGCAGTGTGAAAAAGGGAGAGTTTAAGTTTAGGGAAGAGGGAGTGAGGGAACAAAGGGTGTGTTGTTAATTTATAGAGGAAAAGGGAAGATAGATCACAGACACAAAGGATGAAAGAGAGAGAGAGACATATGGGTGGGGGGTCGTGCCTCTTCTCTCTCTGACACAACAATCATGCATGTGTAAGCATGGAAGGCGGCCGGTTAGTAGCCTAAAAGATTTTATGTTCCGGTTCTATGATGATGGTTATGGCGTCATGTGAATGATGATGGTTTACCTTTTTCTATTTTACAATAACATCATTTTTTATTTTGGGGGGTTATGCTTGCTCATAATATGTTGTTACATGTAAGTGTTGATGTGTAACAAGATTACATGAGAGTTCACTTGTTGAGAGATGATAGGTTGAAGGATAAATGAAGTCACAATTTTTGGCACCAAAGAGATTGATTTCAATTATTTTTATAGGGGTTGTTGGATACTTGTTTGTGGAATTGAGGGCATGGTGGGAATAAAAATGGGCATAATGGAAAGGAGAGGAACAATAATGGGGGCTTTCAGTTAGGGTTTGTAAAATGATGATGGGCTAGGCCGTCCCAAGATTTGCAATGATGGTTTGGATTGGGTCCAAAACCACCATCAGCACCCTCCCTTACCCCCTCCCCCCTATCATCAATTACTCTTTTGTTTTATTTATGCTGCGGTTCTTCTATTTTTAGGCCCCCATAATTTTCACTTTCGTTTTTGTAATTTTCATGTGTTGGGAAGTGTTGGCAGTAATCATTCTCCTTGCCGTAATGTTATTCTTCCTTTTGTTGAAAATGGCGATTTTTGTGCATTGAGACCTGAGAGAGGGGGAAGAGACTGCCACTTGTTTGTGGACTTGTCTCCACTACACGGCACTACTTGGCTACTCATCGTTTCCCATAATAATCAATATATTTGTCATTTTTATAACGTTTGAGTGATGATGGAAATTTTGTTCATGTGTGAAGGGAGGGATATACCCAATTAAAATCCCTTGCCTTGTTACCAAGAATTGCGCATATATTCTTTTTCTTTGTTTTTATATGCTTAGGAGAGTGCTTTTTAACAAACTAAATGTGAAATCATTAAAAGGGTTCCACAAAAAGGGCAAAAAATAAAAAGATGGCAAGGGTGTTATGCATTGTCATTATACTAAAGCAAGCTTGTTTTAGTACTAGTTCTTTCCAAGAATCAATTCTTACTCCCAATTGGATTCCATTCACATTAATTAACTGGATATCCAAATAACCAATCTCCCCCACCATTTAGCCTGTGACTTATGAGCTAATTAAAGAGCGTTTTAAACCATTGATGGTATTTTGTTTTACGTTATTATAATCATAATAATTATGTGGAAAGGTGGTAGTATGTTAAGTAAAGCACTATTTTTCTTGCCAAATTCAGGAGATGATCTTGGAATAATTGTTGGGGGGAGTAATAGGGGTTGGGGCCAGCAAGTCCTCAATTCCTGCATGGGTTATGAGTGGAATAACGTGAAACATCATGGTTGACAGATGGTATATTTTGGATGTTCTAATTTCCTTATGAGTCAATTTGTCAACCAGTTCCTGGGTGTCCCCCCCCTTCAACTTCCTTCGTTTCAATCCCCTGTTTAGGACTTTGCTTGCACATATCTATGTTGTCTAATTATGGGGATTCCATCCACAGCTAACTCTTCATGAATTTACCCTTTCGTCCTTAACACTCATACATCTTTATAATTAATTCTTGGCTTATATATTAGTTTCAACTATTCATGTGCTATATGAATTTATTATTTTTTCATTAAGTCGCATTTTTAACTAAGTATTCCATCGTTTATTTTAAATTGGAATTTTTAATTTTTCTATCCCATATAAGAAACAATGTTTTACTATTTGATAATTTTTTCCATAATTTTCCCTCAATTTCAAAAGTCTTATATCATTACTTTTTTTTTTATCTTGTGGAATAAAATCCTCATTATTTATAATGGAAATAGTATGTTATTATATCTTTTTCTTTTTTAAGGAATGTGATTTGATCATTGTTTAAGAATAATCTTGTTTTTTTTTAAGATGTGTTTGGATGGTGAAATTATAACTATGATTTAGATTTTTAATATTAATTCCAATCTTGATAGTTTAGTGTAGAATGTTTGTATTATGCAAAGAACTGGGCATAAAATTATAGTGGTAGTAGCGGAGAGAAAAAAGGTCATGGTAGTAACAATAAGAGTGTTGATAAAAGTAATGCATGACTATTGTGGAAGTGATAGTCTTAAGTTTGGGAAGAGCATGTACAGCTTATAAGGATGAAAAAATGACATTAATATAATATCAGTTAAAAATTAAAAAAAGGCTCAAACTAGCTATTGCACAATTTTATACAAACTTGTTCTATAATTTGTGATTCTGATTCTAAAATAAATTTAATTAAAATTATTTGGCCAAATTTCAATTTCAAGCTATCAATTTCATATCTTTATTTTACATGTCAGATGAACACTCCGTTTCAACCAGTAAAACTTAGTAGTTTGAAAAATATTAACATAGCACAATCTTTTTAATATGCTTTTAATTATTTGATTATTTTTATGCTGGTTAAAAAAATTAGTGTCCGTTTTCTATTTTCTAGAACAATATAAATTTTATTTAATAATAAAGAAAATGTAATAAAAAAATATTGTTAAGATACCTCGTATTTGCCACAAGATGATGTATGTATTACTGCCAAATGGAACGGGTTTTAGAATTAATTTCATAGCTAACGTTTTTGTTCAAATACTAGAAGAAAAACAGGGGACAGGTTTCAGTTTTTATTTCTTGTCACTTGCATTTTCTAAAATGTCAACCAGATTTCATATTCTGCTTTCTTTCTAAATAAAAAAGTATTACTACAATTTAAATGTATCATGTTTTTGTTACAAAGGAAGTTTAAAGCGTGGTGTATGGAAATTCAAATTTATCAATTTTTGGAGGATTAATAAACAATTCCTAAAAAGATGAATTGGTATCACTTGAGACATGGTTTATTTTACATATTTTTCTTAGACAAATCCCACATTTATAACTAAAGCCCCTAGGTACCTAATTTGATTACCATGGGGCGTTTTAAACTTTCTTGCCTTGTTCGCTTTACCAACCAATGGAACATAAATAATTAATGTGTAACTGGCTGAAGTCTTCATTTATAGTTTAGTTAGGCCAATTAGATGAGATTAGAAGTTTGGGCAAAAATTGTTACTCCACTGTTGTCCCAAATGATTTAATTGTTTTACCAGCGATATAGCTGCGGCTAAGATGAGCTCTGCTCAACCAAAGTTGTAGACTCATGAGTTCCTATCCCATCATATGTTCAAACATGTTCACTACCCTAACATGTGCTTGGTCAACAACCCATATGGCATTCAAATTCAGATAATAATAATAATGGCAGAGTCAAAGAAGTATAGGGAGGCAAAAGGGTATCTCCCCAAGCAAAGGCGTAAGCACAAAACATATAGGTAGTAAATTGGCGTAAATGCGGGTATGAATCTAATAAAAGGGTGTTATAAATCTCGTCAGAAACAAACAATGATGGCAAAGGCCCAACAATAATGGTTCTCTTCCCCTAGTAATCCATTCAAACCCCCCCTTCTTAAATAACCATTTTGCTTTTCCCCTGCAAAATTGAGTCACCCCCATTTAATAATTCATTGAAATTTTGGGCCTTCATGATATAAGGGTGGTTAGTTTTGTTTAT